ATTTGGATCTGTGTGTACCAGTGAAGAGCCCTTTAACAACATATGAAAAACTGGAGGATGTCTTGTTTTTCCAGAAATTTCTTAGAAGGATGGGTCTGCTCCTCTGTGGTATACAACAAAGGCTCAGGACAAGGAGTCAGACATGGTGTTTACTGTTTACTTCTTGTCCAGGGCCCCTCACAGAGGCAAGGCCTGGGGGCAGGTGGGATCACTTGCTGTACCAATGAAAGGCTTGAAATTGATACTTTTGAGATGATCATGAGAGGGTGTTTTTTCTAAAAGTCCCAGAGAGACTGCACTCGTGGAAAGAAAAAGATATATCAGGCAGGGTTCTTAGCTTCATGAGAAATCCACTCTAGGAGGTTAAACGAAAGGGACTGGGTTAAGGACACCGTAGCTCAGAGAGTCTTCAAGATGCTGGAGGACCATGCTGAGAGGCTTGCAGCCAGGGCCACTCTTTGGCAGAGCAGTGGAGACCGCCATGGCTCCTCTCCACACAGATGCCCGCTGTGTGCCATGGGGCTCAGACCTTCCTGAGAACCGGGGTCACAGCTGGCCCTAAAAGCAGGATTTATTCATTCCTACCCTCTGCAACACGGATCCCCGTGGCACCTGCTTCTTCAGTCACCAACTTGCCATGCAGTCTGGCACTAACCCACCATTTTGGAGGAGCCCAGGTCAGAGGACTGGGCTCCTCAATACAAGGCAGACTGGGGAGGCACATTTCGGGGCTTCCCCCTGAAGCAGAAGAATTGTGCCTTGTAGGAATTCATAGGAGTGACAGCTGCTTTTACAAAGGCCACTGAGTGACTTTGAACTTTTGTCCATTTTAGTGAACCACTTCTTTACTGCACTAGAAATGAATACACTATAAAAACATTTTCTAAATCTCATGATGACATTACGTTCTATATTTGCTTAAAACTATTAAATATTGAAAATGAATGACAGATTTTGAACCTTCTGGCAGAGTTACATAAAGTGAATGATTCTGACTATTCAGAGGTTCATTCAATGTCAAACTATGTGAACCTTTGGCATGGCCTTACAGCTCTGTTATAGCAATAACATGGGGGAACTTGGGCTATTAATACTTAGCGTATACTTATTAGTATTAATAAGATGGTGTTGTTAATTTTTGCTAGATATTGTTGAAGTGTTTGATATAACTTGATAGAGTGTAACTAATAATAATTATGGCAATTTTACATTTTTATTTATTTATTACTAATCTATGCAGCTCAGGAAATGGTAGGTCCAACTTTGGGACTGGATGTTTACATCCCATTTAATTCAAAACTGTTTCCAATATAGAGTCACATCCCAGAAGATAATGGGAATAAAACCAACAAGAAAATTGTGTTCTTCTTTTTTGTTTATTTTGAAAATGTTTATTATGCATCTACTTTGTGCTAGGGGTAAAGCAACATGATCTCTCTCTCCAAGTGTGCACCAGTAGACCAGAGAAAGAGATCATGACAGGTGATTCAGATAATGCTGAACCATAGCGGAAAGGTGCTAAGCATTAGCCTGCCAGGTTGAGGGCTGTTTCTGAAGACCAGGATTCTTTCTCTGGCTCCCCAACCCCCGGCTTTGTTAAGATACCATTAACGTGGGACTAGGATTCTTGAATGGAACTGTAGGGAAAGCGCAGACAGGAGCGATGAGGAGGGCATTCAGGGTAAAGAGAACTGGGTGTTTGAAGATTCAGAAGTGTGAATGTTCCCAGAGGATTGGGGAATTGCAGCTCTGACTGGAAGGAAAAATTGGGTGAGGAATGACACCTTGTCAGACACCTTTGAATGTAAAAGTGGAAGCACATGCATTTTGCTTCTGGTGATAATGTCTAAAATTTACATTTTGTGTTAATTTGACCTCATTTACATAATGCCTTTTATAAAGATTCTCTGAGATGTTGCCATAGACCTTTTGCTTTCATATTTTTTGGGCATATTCATTTTCTCCTGGCCCACAAAACACTTTGCTTTGTCTATTTCCTTTTGTATTTGCCCATATGCATGTGTATTTTTCTAGTAAGTGTAGTGTACATACTCTCCATGTTGTTGTTGTTTTTTTTTTCCACTTAATATTAAATAACTATCCTTCCCTAGGGTATTCTTAATTCTGGCTTTTCATGGACACAACATTTCATTGCATAGCAGTGGGAAATTATTAGACTTCAATTTTTTCAATAGCTTTAGCAATAATGTAATGACACTCTTTGTGCCTACAGCTTTATTTTCTATTAGGTTATTTTCCAACTGTCAGTGTCTCTTAACTGCCCATTAGGAAAATAGAGTTTTATGATTTAGAGCTTTCCCTTTCTCACCTCCCATTCTTTCACTTCAGTAATCATCCCATCATGAATTGAATGCACTTACCTTATCTGTATGGGAGCAATATAGAGTGTCAGTTCTGGTCAGTTTATATAACCACACCAACCCAGAGTTCCTGCCATCAGTGCAGGAAACAACACCCCCAACATGGAAATACTATGACAGACACTGTGACAGTCATTAAAAAGTCACCTGAGTTGCTGAACCTCCTCTATATTGTTTTCTAGTTTATTTTCTGTGAGCTTGTATCTTTCATCATCAATTTACAAAGGATCACAGGTCATTCCTTCCTTAGTAATCCTTAAAATATATTATCCCTTTTCTTACTATAGTGACATCATTTCCTTCCCCTTTAGCATTTGAAATTATTGTTGTCAGATTTGTACTTGCTCCTATTCAGTAGTGATATTTAACTTTTCTTTATTTCAGTAAGTTGGTTCCAAAGGCTACTGAAAGCTTTTTTTTTTTATATGTACAGTACTGGTTATAAGACCCACTAATTCCTCTCCTGGCTACTTAGGCTAGAAGAGCAGTCACAAAAACATGGATATGAGTGTCTACAACAGCTCGAGACATAATTTCAGGAACAACCCACATGTCCAGCAATAGGCCCTGAATGAACACTCTGTGCTCCATCCATACAGTGCAGTTCTGAGTGATGAAAAGGAAATAAACTATTGATACACACAACAGCAACACTCAAAACAGTTCTGCCAGATGAAAGAAAGCAGTCTCAAAAGGTGACATCTATGATTCTATATATATGATATTCGAAAAGAGGAAACGAGAGTGCTAGAGAACAGATTGATGGCTTCCAGGAGTTCTGGGTGGGGAGCAGGTCTGAATACAAACTGGAAAAGGATGCATTTCGGGGATGATAGAACTGTTCTATAATTGTGTCCTGGTTGTTCTGATATCAAATCTATACATGTCAAAATTCATAAAACTAAACACTAATTAATTTGTGCATTAATTTAAAAGTATAGTAAGACCCCAGTTTTATCAACTGGTCCTCAATCCTTTGACGAGTTACTTAAGCTCTTTAAGTCTCAATTTATTTACCTGTTCAGTGTGGAGTACTGTTTATATTGATGAGGAGTTATAAAGATGAAATAAAATACTATAAAGAATCTACCTCATCATCCCCTGCCCCAGCATGGTGATATTTTTTTTTCCATTGAGAGTAGATTCTTTATTATTATCATTATTATTATTGTTATCATCATCATTTGGGCTGATGTACAGCTGTTTATTTGGCTCTTGGAGTCATTGAGAGTTTCAGGAAACAAAGTATATGACTGACTTTCACTTTTAAATCTCTTGAGCAGATCTTTAGCATTACAAAGAGTGTAGTTGAGGAGGCTGAGAGTAGAAACAGCAGCCAGTTGGAGTTGTTAGATCATCCAAATGAGAGATGATGTGGTATGGACTTTGTTGGGCCAGTGGAAAGGGAGAGAAGTTGGCAGATATGGAATGAACTCTTTCGGAGGTAGACTCAATAGGCTTGATGATGACATGAGGGGTGAGGGAAGGTAGATGGTGGTGTCATTACAGAGACGAGAAACTTAAGGAAAAGACAAACTCAGGCGATGAGGTGGTGGTAGACACTGCAAATTAAGAATCCTGATGGGCAGGAAACCACATAGGTAGCTGGGTGTGGGGTTCTGGAATCTAAGACCAGGTCAGCATGTTCTCTTTTGTGTCTCAAATTGCAGCAAACACTCTCTGTGAGTCTCTCCAGTCTGCCCTAGCTTAGCGTTTGGGGGATTTTTGACTACTCTTGCCTGGGCTCAGCATGTTTTTTTCCTTTTAAATAATAATCAATGTATTTCTTCTTAATCTACTCCTGAGAGAGATTGTAGAAACCTTTAGGAGAACTCAAGATTATGATCATATTATCTATTACAGCCAGGTTCTCCCTGCCACACTCCTTTTCCATTTAATGTGAGTAAGGGAACGGAAACAGCCAGTATTTTCAAATATCCAGTCTGAAAACCATCAATCATACTGGTAAGATTTTTAAAAAGTACTAATATGTAAATTAAATTAATAATAAAGAATGATAATTAACAGGTAAGCACATGTTCATAAGCTAAGAGGTTTTATTCTAGCGTTTGTGTGGCTTTTATTCAAATTTCCAGTTTTGCCATCGACAAGCCAAAAAAAGCAAGATGTAATTTTCCTTGGTGACTAACAAATTCAATTTAATTTAGTTTTTTTTTGAGGGGGATAATGTGATGGAATTGGGAGGGGTATTGAGGCCAGCATCACCACTTCTGTGACAAGTGAAGTAGAACTGTTTATGAGGTCAGTGTCCAGCGGATTCACCTGTGTCTGAAATGCTTTACATTTAACATTTCATTCTTTAAACATACGCATAAAAAGGACTTCAAAAACCTGTGTCAGAGACAATGCCCTTCCCCCCAGCACTCCATCTTCACCCGTCACCAAAAAGAGTGACCTATTGTATTTTTCCTCAAAAAAGGTAATTATTTTGCAATAAACACTAACACAATGTTCTGTTTTTAAATTCACCTGTTCCAGGGGTGAAGTCATCAGTTAGTTCATAGCGTCACTAAATTGTCCTCTGACTCATTCTTTTAACATTTTATACTTGTCAAATGCACTGGTGACAACCTGGCATTCCCTTGTTTTTACAAACAGGACAATTTCAGCCACAACTCATCATCAGGCTGTTAACTTCAACATCTTCGAGGGTATGGTTTGCCATGGGGTGCCCCTCGTGACTGTGTCCAGAGGCAAAGTGGTGTATGAAGCTGGAGTTTTCAGTGTCACACCTGGAGATGGGAAGTTTATTCCTCGGAAGCCATTTGCTGCATATATTTACAAGCGGATCAAGCAGCGGGACCAAGTGAGTTGCGTGGGAGGGACAGGTGCCGTGAGCTGAGTTGACCACTGCCCTTGGGTGTGCTGGTGTCACAAACACTCGGTCTGACACGTTTCGGGGTGTCAGGCTTGATAGGAGAAATTACTGCCCGTGCATTACTGTTTTCTCAGTAACAGCAGCTAATAGTTATCCTGATTATCATGTTTTTCTAAGCTGTTATTAACTGCCAAGCACTGTATTAGGTGGTTCATAGTCATTATTTTAATTAATCAGCACAATAAGCCATATGGGAGTTGTTACCATTCCCATTTAACAGACTAGAAACTGAATCTCAGCAAGATTAAGTCCCTTTCCTTGGACTAAGCAGTAAGTAAATAGAAGGTCAGGATTTGTGATAAGGCTTTTCTGATCTCACTATACTATGGGGTCTCTGTAGACCAAAAAAAGAAAGCAATTGTGAAACTCAAATCTTGTGGAAATACATTACCTTAAAAAATGCTGATATGGGAAAGTACCCATAAAATGGATAAATGAGGTTTGAGAATCGTCTAGAAGCATTTTAGACATTTTTTCTCTCCACTCAGCAAACAGTTTTATAGAAGAAAAATACCACACTGAGGTTAAGAGGAAAAAGTTGTTGGGATTCCTACTTGGTAAATGCACATGAGGTTATAAGAACTCTTGCTTTGGTTTCCATTTAAAACACTCCGATTTCCTGGTAAGTGAGGATAAGTGTTTGAAGGCAGCAGGAATGACCCAATGCATTTCTCCTGCTCACCTGCTAACCTTCTTAAGAAAATTAATCTACTCTTCTGCACTTCAAAGACACATCAGTGTTGCCAACTTTGGAGCATCACTGATCTCCATAGAGTGTTAGTTCCGTAAGGACAGTGTCTTACCTTCTTATGCCTAGGTCTTGGAGCACAGTAGGCAGTCAATAAATAAACTTCAAATGGAAGAAGCAGAGATCATGATTTCAGTGGTCATAGATTGAAATTTGAAAGACTGCTCACTGCCTCATCCCAAATAATTGAGTTATTACTAGTGAGCTTAAGTCTTAGTCATGATTTGATTACTTAATAAATGTTATCAGCATCATGCCATCAGCTATCACTATTTTCAGATATTGTGTGGAATTTTAATCTAATGTGACAGTGTTGGGGTGTTGACTTATTTTAACATTTAAACAGCTAATCTATAATGGAAAAAATTAAACCAGAAGATGAGATATCAGACTTTATTTGCTAAATATAACAGGATATATGTATTTCAATTTTAGATAAATAGTCACTTAAGGAAGTGTTTTGGGTGATACATGAAAAAGAAATAAAAGAGGAAGAAAAAAGTCACAACAGCTTAGCAATTCATGAGCATATTTTTTTTTAATATCATCTTCTGTGCTGTTAGTTCTTTACCAAAAAGTATAGATCTTTAAATTTAAATGGAATATTACTTCCAGAACTTTTGTGAGTTCAGCATTGCAGTTTTCATCACAATTTGGAAGTACAGGTTGTATCTAACTCACCTCATATTCTCTTCTTTCCCTAATAACTCAGTGTATTGTGGAAAATAAGGGTCATGTTGCATTTTCTAGAGAGACAAGAATCTCTTCACAGAGTAATGCATGGTTTCAGAATACTGCCAAGGTTTCTGTCTGGGTTGCTTGTGCAAGCATAGCATCATTTGCCATTAGATAAGGGAAAACTGAGTGGATGGTAGGTCTGGTCATTGAAATGGGTGTTCATTTTTGAAACAAAACATTCCCAATGTCTTTTCTCAATGTGAAAGCCCAGAGAAAATAATTTAAAATGGGATCAATTGTGATATAATCTCCATTTCCTCAAAATGGTTGCTAATAATCATTAAAAATGCACATGTAGAAAAGCCAGCTCATTCTGGCTCATGGCGGCCCCTTGCGTAGCGCTCTTCCCACTTCCTCGGTCAGCAATGTCTCTTTGGTAGCTTGAGATCAAATCACTTGTGGCATGAATATTTACACAAGGGAAATAGGTCGGTGCTATAAATCTGCACTTTTGAAGTAGTGAGATAGAAAGTGGCAGAGCCAGCTGCTCACACTTGCCAATGCTCCACTTTCCAGAAGCCTTTCCAAAGACTGCCTCTGTTTTAGCCCACCATTTAACACTCATTCCATTAGTATTTATTGATGACCAATTATATACCGGGCATATTTTCATCCTCACCACAAGCCTCTAAGATAAGTAGTGGTGACCCTATTTTATAGATTAAAAAATTGAGACTTAGCAAGGCCACATCGTTATTATGTGGCAGCAGTAGAACTCAAATCCAGATTTTTCTATCTTCGAAACCACTCTTGCTAATCTCTGCCCCTTGACTACTGAACTCACAAAGTTCAGTCCTCACCCAAACACAGCAAATGGCCCATGTGCAGGCTAGCCTTCCTCCTGTCTCCCCTTCTGCACACAGGGCTCAGTTACCTGCATGCTGGCAGACTTCCCAGAGGAGCCAGCCCTGAAATTAGAGGACCCAACTCGTTCCCATTGTTTTTGAGAAATAGGGTTCAGTAGGAAGACTTGATGGGTGGTCAAATATTATCCAAGTATAAATTGTCAGTTACAGATCACCTCTGTTGAACATAATGGAAACTTATGTTCTAGTGATTCACAGTCCTTGGAAACTGAGTTCAATATACATACTGAGTGTACTTCTATAGTGGATTGTTAGTTTCAGAAAATTGGGCACTCAGGCATCTCATTCCTGCTGACAAAACTATGAAATTTCTATCAATCTATGGCTTCTTCCCCATCAACTAAGCAAAAAGCATTTCTGCAATTACACAGGTATAATGAAGATTGCAATGAATATTTATGTATATTGTGATGCAATTCTTATTTTTGTCTATTAACTGATTACATGACAATTGTCATTAAGTACTGTGAACTCAAATTGAACTCCATCTAACAAAGGAAGCCATCAGCGCCCTCACCCTCTGAGGCAAGGGCCATCTGTATTTCTCCCGGTGTTAGCTGTGCCTCTGACATGATTGTCCATTTCATTTTATTGTGATAAAATCACACTGGAATGAAGAGGTATAGTCAAGTAACGTGGACCAATTGAGAGTGAAGGGGGAGGGAAGATGCCAATTCAGATGAATCTCAAAGTGTGTTCTTTGGACACTAGTCTCTTGAAGTGCTCTTTGAATAAACTGTCAAATGATTTTAGATTATACCACCCTCAGGTGATTCTGTGACTCAATACAATAGCAAAATTCTGAGAAATTCTGCAGTCAGGAAATCTTCCTGCATTTCACAAATGTCTGAGTACCAAACAGTATTCTAGGAGCTGAGGATACAGCTCAGCTTTCCAAGAGCTTAAATTCTACTTCTGTTTTAACTATAATTTGTGGTGCTTAAATTCTAGCTCTCCTTGGGATGTTTCTTGTACCTACCTGTGATAAGGCCAGTTAGCCTCTTAGATAAAAGAATCTGGAGCTGCAGAGGTATCACGGTTGGACATAAAATTGGGGATCATGGCACGTAGGTTTTAAATTGTGAGTCTGCAGCCAACAAGGAGGCCATGCAGAAACAGAAGAAAAGGGGCTGAGATTAGCTCTGGAGGTGCCAGCCTTCAAAGCTAGAGGCAAGGAGAAGAGAAACACACAAAGGGGCCTAAGAAAGCTGTGTGGTGAGGTAGGATGAAAACCTGGAAGAGAGAAAGGAGAGGAGGGAAGGGGAAGGGAGGGGAGGGGAGGGGAAGGAAGGGCAGGGGAGGGATAGAAGGCAGCCTGGCCACCTGTGCAACCCAGAGATCTCTGCGCCCTCATCCCTATCTCCAGGTGTTTCATGCTGCATAAACATCTTCTAAGAAGAATTAAATATGCGAGACGTGGGACAGAGGCCTTGATTTCACTATACGCATCTGAGGTACCAAGGAAAGAACCCCACTTTATCTGGGACCCCACTGCTCTGATAACCTGCAGGCATGAAGCACCTGCCTCTGGGTGCTGACACCCATGTCAATTCCAGGTGCTTCACACTGCAGATCACACCTTGCCAATGTCACTGGAGAGAGGGAGGGAACAAGACTAGCTATTCCCAACTGTAGTCTGAACCTACTTAGAAAACAAATGTGCAGCTACATTCTAAATGATGGCAGTGCTGGCTTGCATCGTGCACAGTGACTGCCATTGCCTTTCCATTTCATCACAGTAAGCATCTAATGAGGTTCTGAAATGCATGTGGAATGCAGTGGCCAGGAACAAGGACAGTCCATCAATGGAGAAACCTGAGTCTGACATTAAAGAGCTCAGGGAGCCCAAGGATAAGAAACTGTTAAAATGTTGAAAGTGCCGGGAGGCTTGAGACCAAAATTTAAATTTCCTTTGATTCCTGTTAATTCTTCTATCAAAAGGGAAGATTGTGGGCTGTGGATCAGCTAAGGAACCCGAGGGAGGTGTGGTTCGTGGGCAGGTGTGGTTAATGTCCTGTGGCCAGTCTGGGGTGTCCTCACCCATCCAGAGCCTCAGAACTTGACCACGAGTGAGACTGTGTAGATGAGGCTAGTGGCCCCGACAGAGACCCACACTGATAATCACTGTGACCAGCCAGACTATAGGCCAAAGAGAAGGTGCAGCCTGAGGAATAGATAAATGGTGAAGGAGAGTAAAGGAATTTGAGGGAAACTGAGGCAACCCAGACCAGGTCACCACAAACAGGCGGTAACACTCAGAGGAGGATCTCCTCTCCATCACACCTTTCTGTTCTTGGTAGGACTTTAATCAAGTGTTTATTGAGTATTTACGGAGAAACAGTCCCAAGTCTGCTGGAGGAGACAGACAGGTAGGCAAATAACTACGGAAAGCAGTGGTGATAGATGGGGGATGGGGCAGGAAGGCTAGAGCTTCCTGGACTGCTGACCGCCTGGTTATTTATAAAACACAGATCTACTGGGCCCTCCCTGGTGGTGCAGCAGGCTAAAGCACAGCACTAAGAAGCTAAAGCCACTTCAGCATGAGTTTGATCCCTACCCTGGAGCTGACCCACATGGCGTGGCAGACCTCTCCTGACCTGCCCGCTGCTCCGCTCAGCAGTGTACTTTAGTCAGTCGGCCTATTCTGCTCCCCACTCTGTTTCTGGTGAATCCTCTCACTGCACCTGCACCTCTGGCCTGTACACCAGTTCTGTATGCACAAATAAATAAAAAAAAAAAAAAAAAAAAAAAAAAAAAAGAAGCTTCCATCATTAATTCTATATTTGACATAACAGTCTCAGTAACCAGAAGTCTTCATAT